CACAAGGAAGCAACAACGCGAGCTGTTGATCTACAACATAATTTGCAAAATACTACCAGGACTAAGTTCATGATAAATTTAAGTTCAATTAATCATATTACTTAAGAACTCCCACTTAGATAGACATCCCTCTAATCCTCTAAGTGATCACGTGATCCAAATCAACTAAACCATGTCCGATCATCACGTGAGATGGAGCAGTTTCATTGGTGAACATCACTATGTTGATCATATCTACTATATGATTCACGCTCGACCTTTCGGTCTCCGTGTTCCGAGGCCATATCTGTATATGCTTGGCTCGTCAAGTATAACCTGAGTATTCCGCGTGTGCAACTGTTTTGCACCCGTTGTATTTGAACGTAGAGCCTATCACACCCGATCATCACGTGGTGTCTCAGCACGAAGAACTTTCACAACGGTGCATACTCAGGGAGAACACTTCTTGATAATTAGTGAGAGATCATCTTAAAATGCTACCGTCAATCAAAGCAAGATAAGATGCATAAAAGATAAACATCACATGCAATCAATATAAGTGATATGATATGGCCATCATCATCTTGTTCTTGTGATCTCCATCTCCGAAGCACCGTCGTGATCACCATCGTAGCATCGTTGTCGTCTCGCCAATCTTATGCTTCCACGACTATCGCTACCGCTTAGTGATAAAGTAAAGCATTATAGCGCGATTGCATTGCATACAATAAAGCGACAACTATATGGCTCCTGCCAGTTGCCGATAACTCGGTTACAAAACATGATCATCTCATACAATAAAATTTAGCATCATGTCTTGACCATATCACATCACAACATGCCCTGCAAAAACAAGTTAGACGTCCTCTACTTTGTTTGTTGCAAGTTTTACGTGGCTGCTACGGGCTTAAGCAAGAACCAATCTTACCTACGCATCAAAACCACAACGATAGTTTGTCAAGTTGATGCCGTTTTAACCTTTGCAAGGACCGGGCGTAGCCACACTCGGTTCAACTAAAGTTGGAGAAACAGTCACCCGCAAGCCACCTATGTGCAAAGCACGTCGGGAGAACCGGTCTCGCGTAAGCGTACGCGTAATGTCGGTCCGGGCTGCTTCATCCAACAATACCGCCGAACCAAAGTATGACATGCTGGTAGGCAGTATGACTTATATCGCCCACAACTCACTTGTGTTCTACTCGTGAACATAACATCAAACCATAAAACCTAGGCTCGGATGCCACTGTTGGGGAACGTAGTAATTTCAAAAAAATTCCTACGCACACGCAAGATCATGGTGATGCATAGCAACGAGGGGAGAGTGTGATCTACGTACCCTTGTAGATCGACAACGGAAGCGTTTGGTTGATGTAGTCGTACGTCTTCACGGCCCGACCGATCAAGCACCGAAACTACGGCACCTCCGAGTTTTAGCACACGTTTAGCTCGATGACGATCCCCGGACTCCGATCCAGCAAAGTGTCGGGGAAGAGTTCCGTCAGCACGACGGCGTGGTGACGATCTTGATGTACTAATGTCGCAGGGCTTCGCCTAAGCACCGCTACAATTTTATCGAGGACTATGGTGGCAGGGGGCGCCGCACACGGCTAAGAATAAGATCACGTGGATCAACTTGTGTGTCTCTGGGGTTCCCTTGCCTCCGTATATAAAGGATCAAGGGGGGGGGGGTGCGGCCGGCCTAGGAGAGGCGCGCCAGGAGGAGTCCTACTCCCTCTGGGAGTAGGATTCCCCCCCACCCCAATCCTAGTTGGAATAGGATTCGCGGAGGGGGGAAAAGAGAGAGGGGGGCCGGCCCCCTCTCCTTGTCCTATTCGGACCAAGGGAGGGGAGGGGCGCGCGGCCCATCTTGGGCTGCCCCTTCTCTTTTCCACTAAGGCCCATATAGCTCCCGGGGGGTTCCGGTAACCTTTCGGTACTCCGGTAAAATCCCGATTTCACCCGGAACACTTCCGATATCCAAACATAGGCTTTCAATATATCAATCTTTATGTCTCGACCATTTCGAGACTCCTCGTCATGTCCGTGATCACATCCGGGACTCCGAACAACCTTCGGTACATCAAAACGTATAAACCCATAATATATAACTGTCATCGAAACCTTAAGCGTGCGGACCCTACGGGTTCGAGAACAATGTAGACATGACCGAGACACGTCTCCGGTCAATAACCAATAGCGGGACCTGGATGCCCATATTGGCTCCTACATATTCTACGAAGATCTTTATCGGTCAGACCGCATAACAACATACGTTGTTCCCTTTGTCATCGGTATGTTACTTGCCCGAGATTCGATCGTCGGTATCTCAATACCTAGTTCAATCTCGTTACCGGCAAGTCTCTTTACTCGTTCCGTAATACATCATCTCGCAACTAACTCATTAGTTGCAATGCTTGCAAGGCTTAAGTGATGTGCATTACCGAGAGGGCCCAGAGATACCTCTCCGACAATCGGAATGACAAATCCTAATCTCGAAATACGCCAACCCAACAAGTACCTTCGGAGACACCTGTAGAGCACCTTTATAATCACCCAGTTACGTTGTGACGTTTGGTAGCACACAAAGTGTTCCTCTGGTAAACGGGAGTTGCATAATCTCATAGTCATAGGAACATGTATAAGTCATGAAGAAAGCAATAGCAACATACTAAACGATCTTGTGCTAAGCTAACGGAATGGGTCATGTCAATCACATCATTCTCCTAATGATGTGATCCCGTTAATCAAATAACAACTCTTTGTCCATGGTTAGGAAACATAACCATCTTTGATTAACGAGCTAGTCAAGTAGAGGCATACTAGTGACACTCTGTTTGTCTATGTATTCACACATGTATTATGTTTCCGGTTAATACAATTCTAGCATGAATAATAAACATTTATCATGAAATAAGGAAATAAATAATAACTTTATTATTGCCTATAAGGCATATTTCCTTCAGTTATCGCATCCGTGATTTGCGGATTCAGGATTAACTTAAATATCAGTCGATATTTAGAACAATGCGCTAGACTATCCCAGAAGTGTGAGTTCCCTGGTATCCAATACACCTGGGGCAATGCCTTTGAGGCTATGTACTTTCTTCTAGAGTTTGCCAAACCCTATTATCTGTAAGAAGCTTGAAAAGCCATTTACCAAGGAAGGCTGAATTTTTAACCTCTAGGTGGAGAATACCAAGACATCCCATCTAACTAGCCTGTATTTGTTTTTCTCACAGTTGCCTTGCCAAAATAATCCTGATTGGAAATAATCCAATTTATGCAGATTTCCTTTTGCTAGCTAAAAGAATGATATCATATACTTAGTACTAAATTAATGAGAACAAGTCTCTGGCCGACACAAAGCAATTTTCTTTTCCAACTGCTGAGCCTTTACTGGAGGCGCTCCTCCATGTGTTTCCATTCGGCATTTGTTAATCTCCGGTAGTGGATTGGAATACTCAAGTATCTAACTGGAAAGTGGCTTGCTCACACTCAAATAGTTTGTCATATTTGAGCGACCGTGTTTTGGGCTTCGCCGAAATAAAACAATTAACTCTTATGAAAAATAATTTTAAGCCCAATAACTGCTCGAGCGCTGACATAATTACTTTTAAGTTCTTAGCCTTTTCGAGGTCATGATCCATAAAAAAAATCGTATCATCTGTATATTGAATGATAGATAGTCCACCATCCAGAAGATACGAGACTACCTCCTCAATTGGACTGCCAACCTTGGCGTGTTCAATCATGATGGCCAACATATCTGCCGCCATGATGATTAATGTGTGCATACATGATGAACTGTTTAATAGCTTTATGACGGATAACTTCTATCTACAATCAGAATCACTTCCTAGATTCTCTATTAACCGGTGAATATTCTTGTGTACGTTCCAAATTTAGCAAATACATGCCACTCTGCATATGTCTATTGTTTATATGTTCTTATCTCCGTCCTGAATATCGCTGGAGTATATATCAGTATATATACTAGTATCCAGAATCTATATAGAGGTAAGGCCTAAGTGATGGGGCACACAATCACATCTATTTTCTAGCTCACGACTAGAGTTAATCATATGTTAGATTGGTTGTTTTGATAGATTACCTTTGTTTTTTCTAGGATTTGATCTCATAACATGTAGATAAGATATTACTCCCTCCGTTCCATAGTGCAGTGCATATAGATTTTTTTTAAGTCAAATCTCATAAACTTTGACCAAGTTTGTGGAGAATTTTTTTACATCTAGAATGCCAAATATATATCATTAGATTCATCATAAGATGTAGTTTCATATTTTTATAAATTTCGTACTGTAATATAAATAGTTTAGTCTATAAACTTGGTCAAATTTGTAATGTTTGTCTTTTCAAAAATTCTGTATTCAGTATATTATGGAACGAAGGGAGTATAATACTACACTGAAAGGGATTTTTAAATTAAAAAGAACCACTCTGAAAGAAAAGGCTCAAATAAGTAACCGTTGTGTGACACGTGTTCTTTGGATCGATGGAATTGCAATCTGTGGCAAAACTAGATTTACTCTCCATAGACAGTCCAGTAGTCGCAAAGCAATGCATTTCGAGAAAACATTTGTTTGGATAATAATCGGTGTGAAGTGCACGTTACAATATTTTAGATATCTACTACTCCCTCCGTTCCATAATATAAGAGCGTTTTGACACTACACTAGCGTCAAAAACGCTCCCAATATAAGAGCATTTTTTACACTACACTAGCGTAAAAAACGCTCTTATATTATGGGACGGAGGGAGTAAATGATGTCTTGCCTTCAAAATAGACTTATCCATTATAACAATGAGATAATTACACAGTGGTATAAAAATTGGTGGAAAGCATTTATATTTGTATTTGAATGTGCTTTTCTGAATAATACATATCTAATGATATGTTATTTTTTTCCAGACACATCTAGTTACCTGCTTGCAGAAGTATATGTAAATATAGTGCAGATCCTTGTATTTGTGTTTGAGCTTAATATTAAAATTGCAAACAGGTACTTCATTATTATTGATGATGTTTGGAAAGAGGAAGACTGGAAAATTATCAAAGCAGCTTTTCCTGACAATCGTAATGGTAGCAGAATAATTGCTACCACACGCATCACCACTGTAGCTAAGTCATGTTGTTCCAACTCTGGTGATCAGCTTTATCAAATGCCAGTTCTGAATGATGTTGATTCTCGAAGATTGTTCTTAAAGAGAATTTTCCACCACGACAACTCCTGTCCTCCTCAGCTGGAAAAGGTTTCAGACAAGATTTTGAAAAAATGTGGTGGTCTGCCATTGGCTATAATCACAATTGCGAGTTTGCTAGCCAATAAACCTCATAACACAGATGAATGGGAGAGACTGGCAGATTCCATTGGTAATGGTCTTTCATATGAGAATGATGGTGGTGGAAAAGGGATGAAAGATATATTATTACTTAGTTATTGGGACCTTCCGCACCACCTGAAGACTTGTTTATTATACTTATGCATATATCCAGAGGACCAGCGCATCAAGTGTGAAGATTTGAAATGGAAATGGATAGGGGAAGGATTTATTGCTGCGCCATGGGGAAATCTGTGTCAAGAAGCAGAGAACTGTTTCAATGAACTTGTCAATAGAAATATGATCCAGCCCGTTGATGTTGGCCGTGATGGCCTTGTACACTATTGCCAGGTTCATGATATGGTCCTTGACCTCATAATATCTCTGTCAGAAGAAGAAAACTTTGCCATTGTTTTAAATAGACGTGTCTGCAATTCTTTGCCAAGCAAGATTCGTCGGCTCTCCATGCAATCTACTGGGAAAGGAAACAAAGGAGCAATTCATGCAGTCACAACAAGCAAGTTGCATATTCGCTCACTGAATGTGTTTGGAGAAACGGAGCCGGTACCCCCACTTGTGAACTTCCATTCCTTGCGAGTTTTGGATTTTGACAGCTGCAATTGGCTGGAAAAGGAGCATATAAAAAATATTGGAAGTTGTTCCCAGCTGAGGTATTTGCGAATTAACAGCAGACAAATCACCGAGCTTCCTGGAGAAATAGGGAAGCTGCAGTTCTTAGAAACTCTGGATTTGCGGGGTTGTGGTGACCTTATAACACTGCCATCAACTATGGTTCAGCTACAGAAACTGGCGCGTCTACTTATTCACTACCACATTTGGTTGCCTGCCGGTGTGATTGGGAGCCTGCACGCCTTGGAGGAAATATCACATATCTATCGAGTTGACAACCCAGTGAAATTTGCGGAGGAGCTCAGGCACCTAACAAAACTGAGAAAGCTCTCTATGAATTGTTATCCAGATATTTGCAGTGATTATCTAGAAAGATATTTGGAAGTTTTGAGATCATCTCTAAGTGAGTTGTGCAAATTCAACCTTCGATATCTTCATACCAGTAAGGAAATAGGAGATTATCTGCTGGGGGGTCGAAGACGCAGGTTTCCACACCTCCATCTTGTAAAATCGGTTTTTAAACGTGAGACTCGTTTTGAAAGGATTCCCATGGGAATGGCTTCCATAAATGATCTCGTCCATTTAGACATAGAAGTTGAGAGGTTTGATGAGAAAAGTCTCCATCTTCTCATGGGCATGCCTTCTCTGACCTATCTCCAGCTAAGCGTGGTCACTGAGGGGTATGAGAAATTTGGATCCTATTTCCCGGGAAAGAGGTTTGATCCAGTGACTGTCGGTAATAATGGATTCAAGTTTCTGAAGGTGTTCTTCTTCACATTGAAAGAATACACAGGAATTGGAATAGCATTTGCACCAGGTGCTATGCCAGCACTCCAGAGGCTCCATCTTCGCTGGAAAGCACGGGATGTTATGTCCGGGTATTATGAGGACGGTCCTGGCGCTGACATGGGCATCAGGCATCTTTCAGGCCTCACGCACCTCCAGGTCGAAATTGATTGTTCGTATGCAACTGTGGCCGAGGTGGAGGCTTTGGAAGGAAAAGTGACCGGCTGGCATCCCAACCGCCACACTCTTCAAGTCCATCTTCGTAGAGAACACGAGAACACTATTATCAAGGATGAGGAGGAGAGGGACAAGCAACGGGAGGAAGAAAGGCGCGGGCAGTATCTTAGCGCTTTTTAGTTAAGATGATATTTTCAGAAGTTGTAATAAGCTATTCCCTGGATCGTGTAAGCTATTTTGTCGATCATTTCTTGTCCTGTAAAATATTCCTGGATCATTTTACCTATTTCATGAACCCACAACTGGAATGCAGTTTTTCTCTAACCGCATCTGTTGCTAGTATACCGTTGCTAAATTGGTCCGTGAGTTTGGCTAAACATTGGGTGAAACCTGGTGGGTGGTATTTGCTGCTGGATCCTCTTGCGGCTGTAAAGTGATGCAAGCGCTGGCTGGCTTCTATAGACGCGACCAAGGCCCATTCATCCAATGGCAAATAACATAACATAATAAGCTGGGAAAAGGAGATCTGGGCTGTTTGGTTGCTACCCTGAGCTCCCTGCCTGATAAGAAACGGCGCCTCAGGGAAGCCTCGAAAGCAAAAGATTTTGCCTGCTCAGGCAGCCTGAGCGATATGCTGTTTGGTTTCTTGTCTACGCATGAGGAAAAGATGTAAGATCTGAAGCGTGTATTGGGGTAGTAAGCGGGAGAAGATAATGCCACTTTATTAATTGGTGAAGAAAATCACGTTTGATGGCACCGACAACAAGATGGTAGGGGCGAACTGCAATGCCACGAGATCCTTGACGAGCGCAGCCAGATCGTGGAGTAAAATGGAGTTGACTAACTGTACCTTGGAATTATGATGGAAGTGTTGAACACTGGTATATAGCTATAAAGGCATGCACATCGATCTCAGTAAGGTCTCGTGTAAAAGCATGGTTAGCAAGTGTGTCATTGTCACAACAACAACAACAACAACAAAACTGAAACGGCCTTCCATCATGAAAGTTACTCGATATAAAAAAGCAGGTATCTGAATCTGAAAATGGAGTACATAAGTTAAACTAGATACACAAGTTTCTGAATCTGAAATATATATAAATAGACCATAGGCCTTCAAAAGGTACAAGTAGAGGCATGATGCCAAGTTCAGAAGGAAATAGCCAAAAGGGCAACATGACTTCATACGAATGGAACATGGACAAGCAAAATTAATTCATGGAAATGGAAGTCTGAATAACCAGGAATAGCAAACCATCTGATTTACTCTGTCGGCTTCCTCTGCTCTAAACAAAGCTCCCTCTGCTCTAAACTGAAGGCTGCATAAACAATAGAAGACACAATGAGCACGTGAAGTGCATATTCAGACATGAGAAAGTGCGATTGGATAGCAAGCGGCACTGAAGTGTAGCAAATACCATAGAAATACCAACATACAACTTGATCTCGCTATGCAGAATGCAATTAAACGACTCATTTAACCTCAATAGTAAAAATACCTCAAATTGTGTATGTGCTTATTTTACTTTTTCCACTAGCTTTAGCCTAATCGCATTTTCAGTAGAATATAACATTCTAATCGAGTTTTTCATTCCAAAATTTACAAACAGTTCAATGCCTACTATTCAAAAATTGAATATAGTTTAAGGTTTACTTTGGATTCCACTCAGACATGCAGACTACATAAACATTAGTGAATTGTAAAACAGTTACTTACAGGAGGGAAATCAAAAGGTTTGATGTCAATTTGCACAGGAGTTACTCCATGAGTACCAAGAACATTCACAATTTGACAAATCATTTTATCTTCTTCCCGGCAACCATGGATTTCAACTACCTTGAGATGCTTCGACACCAAGAAACATTCCATTGGGTTGTAGCTTTCACTTGATCCAAAGTCAAAATCCTGTCGCGAACATATGATTTTACTTAAATGAATCAAGTATGCGCACTAGTAGAAAAATGGCCATTTGTCCCAGTTCTTAAGGGCCTTTTGTCCCGGTTGTTGAACCGGGACTAAAGTGTCATTACTAATGCCCTGGGCCTTTAGTCCCAGTTCTTACATGAACCGAGACAGATGGGCCTCCATGTGGCCCGTGCGGCGAGCCCAGGCAGGAGGCCCTTTGGTCCCGGTTGGTGGCACAAACCGGGACCAATAGGCATCCACGCGTCAGCAGCTAGCAGGAGTTGAGGTTTTTGTTTTTTCTGAAAGGGGGTGGTTTAGGGGGTAATTTAGGGTGTGTAAGCTAGCTAACAGAGAGAAGTGTCCTCTCTTATTTCCATGCTTGGTTTACCAACGCTACTGCTATGCCTAAACATGGATTGGATTGAAGTGAAGGCAACAAGCATGTGGTGCATGTCGAAAGTAATATTAATCCTAACTTGATCAACTTTGGATTAGTACTACTTTCGACATGCACCACATGATTGTTGCCTTCACTTCAATCCAATCCATATTCATTTCACCCACTGATATATAATAACTCTTCATGCCCGCATCATGCATCATCGTAATAATAAGTCCTACTAATCATCATCATACAACTTCTACTCGTTATTAATAACAAGTCATACGCTCATCTTCCTCATAGTCATCAAACCAACCCTACTTAATTGTTCTAGGCACATGATCATCAGTATTAGGTAGGACCTAAATACCCTCTTTAAGATAAATAGCATAAAACAATATAGACCCTGACTCTCCATTATGGAGAATGGAGATCATCCTGTCTTCAATTCTTGCGCTTTGCTTCCAAGAACCTCCTTATGTCTGTCCATACATTTTTTTCCATTCTTTGATTGTCATGTCTCCACTTCTTTTAGAAATCCGGTATGGACAGTTGAGATTCGTAGGATGACCTGGCAGTATGTTCAAAACATCAAGGCGACCACCACGCTGATACATCAGATGAGGCACACAATCATTCGGAATTATCTGTTGAAAAACATAGTAATAACTTTGTAGTTAGCAATGATGTACTAGTTTGAGAAGTATGCAAAAGATGCAAGGATGTCGTAATAGTAAAATCTTACTAGGGTATCTCCATGAAAGTTACTGTTGTTCAACAAGTGCACTAGTGGCACGTATTGACCATAATATTGAGGAGTTTGATTGTAGATATTGTAATTCTCAAGAGCAATACAAAATGCGATCAGATGATTTTTCTCCTGATAAGTTAACGAAGGAGAAGCTACCCCATGACAACAGTCGGGATTCTTCGTCCTTTCATATATGATGGAGACTCAACAGACTTAAAGTCAACCCGAAATATCGTTTAATTATCTTTCTAAAACCGGTTCGTGGCTGGTCTCACCTCGAGGTCGGAGGGGGTCGGTGACGGAGACGACGGCGGGGATGATGGAGGGGGGCTCCTAGATTTCTGCGAAAACAAAAACCCTATAAGCTATCAACTAATCATATGCATACGCCTTGCATAGTGCTCTCTAATTTTAGCATTCAAAGTAGGAGTAGTTTTCTAATTTGAGCATTCAATAAGCAAAATCAAATCACAAAATAAAGTAGTATTCAAATTAGGATGCATTCAATTATAAGCAAAACTACATCATCTCCATGCGTCTGTACATCGTCGAATATTATCACTAATACACTCAAATACTATCATACATATAGCATCGCTAGTACAGCTAGAATCGTAGCGCTCGACGGGTATCGGCGCGGGCGGTGGATCATAGCTCCAGTGAGATCCCTGAAGAACCTGCCAGGTATTGTCGAACCTGCCCTCCGACGCAACCATGTAGCGACGGACGTGCTCGTCCTCCTCGCTTACACGGTGACGTACCACCTCCGCGGTGTCCGGAAGCCTCGGCACCGTCACTGGCCCACGCGACCGCCACCAAACAAGGATCGGGTCAACGACGGGCTGGCTCCTCATCAATCTACGCCCCCGGAAGGAAGCACCTCCCAAAACCAGCCCGGCGGAGCCCAGTCCCAGACATGGCCCCTCTGATCAAGCCGGCCTCCTCCACCGAGTCGACGACGAGGATGCGGGATTGGCATCGTCGACGTCGATGCGGGAATAATTGCTTTAATGAAAAAAATAAACTAGTTCTATTAATTTTCTTGCTAAAAATAAACTACTTCTATAGTAAAATAAACTAGTTTTATTAAATCAACTAGTTCAACTACTAAGCACACTTACTATAAATAGAAAAAAATCATAAAAATTCTATGAACCAAAAAAAATTCTATGAACAAAATTACACCAAAAAAAATTCATAAAAATTCTATGAAAAAATTGACATATTCTTTGCATATATATGAACACACAAACATTTGCATATTCAACAATAATATCACAAAAAAAATCTATGAACAGAAAAAATCTAATTTTTGCATATTACAACAACTCAATTAACTACACATCTAAATTAACTACACATCTAAGTTAGGAAAATTCATATGAGCTCACTAAGGGGGCGGCGATCGACGAGGAGGCAGGGCACGGGGGCGACGGTGAGGGGCGCGGCGAGCGGGAGATGAGGAGGCAGGGGGCAGCGACGGCGACGGGCGACGAGAAGGCAGGGGGCGGTGACGGCGACGGTGAGGGGCGCGGCGACGGGCGACGAGGAGGCAGGGGGCGCGGGGCGGCGCGGGACGGCGTCGGGGGCAGGGGCGACGACGGCGACGGCGAGGCACAAAGGGGCAGCCTGGCGGCGGCGGCGGGGCGGGGAAGACGAACTGAATGAAAATTTTCACAACTGCTAGTTATATAGACTAAGCATTGGTTCCGGTTCGTGGCAAAAACCGGGACCAATGCTCCCTTTAATCCCGGTTTGTGGCACCAACCGGGACTAAAGGGGAGGCATTGGTACCGGTTGGTGCCACGAACCGGTACCAATGCACACCTTTAGTCTCGGTTGGTGCCACCAACCGGGACCAAAGGCCTTGTGCTGCTGCGCCCGCATTGAAAGTTTAGTCCCACCTCACTAGTTGAGAGGGGCGCGCAGTGGTTTATAAGCCCCACTGCCGCACCCCTCTCGAGCTCCTCTCCATTGGAGGCTTACGGACCTAATTATCACTGCTATGCCTGATGGGCCTATTGGGCCTGAATCCTAGCCCATCAATGGGTTTCTAGTCGTATTCAAGCCGTGGTGGCCCAGTAGGTAGCATATTTTTTATTTTTTTGTTTTCTTTTTTTCTTTCTTTATAAATACTTTGT